CCCATGCTCGAGAGAATAGCATAGGAAACAGCCATTTCGCATCTATGTAACACAACCAAAGGTACAAGTAACAGCAGCACAAATAACTATGTCACTACATCAATGCAAAATGATGTAAAGGTTTGTTAATTCAGTACAAGCATCCATCTAACAAAAGAAGAAAAAAAAAATCATCCAGTGCTATATTGAAATCATGTAAAGAAATGCATTGCTATTGCTATAGGAGATAACAAGCTTAACCACATGATCCATACTGTTGAAATTTGAAACTCATAAGAAAGATAACAGAATGATAGCTATAAAGCCAACCCAACATATAACAAGTTCAAAACATGTAACAATAACAGCAGATTAACCATGATATCGGCTTTAGTGGTTGTAAAATAACTACTCATCACATGTGCATTAGTTTGTTCGATCAATCAGATTGTACCGGATAAACCTATGGTTCATAAACAACAGACCATCAAATTAACACAGGTAGTATTCCACGCCGACGTCATCTAATCTAATTACCAGAACTCAACTGATAACACAGCTAATGAGAAAGCACAAATTGCTACCCACTGCAGTTAAAATTTTGACCTTAAGATCACCCACAAAGTATGGGATCTCTCAGCACCAATACCTGCTGCGTGCTGCCTGATGTGCTTATTCGCTAACTACTTAAACAGCCTACCTGGACCAGAACCAACACTAGATTCCAGTACTCCAGCATACCAGAATAGAATTACAAACTAAACTTCACTGATCATGCACAAGCAAAAGACAACAATAAGAGACGGACGCTCCACGGATCATGAAAAAACGGAACACCCGATACCCAGTACAGTCACAGTCTAAATGGGAACGCACAAGAGCATCAGGAACAATACAGACAATCATGCGCATCAAAAGCAACTACTAGTCCCACGACTCCTGCAAGGACGAAGCTACCACGCAGAGACTCGACGTGGGAAAAAATGTGAAGCCTAGTTCCTGGCTTGAGCACGCACGGCGCGCCGATAGATCATGAGGCCGACGAGGCGTGCGCGCGCAACGCCACCGTCCTCCTCCGCCAGTCCGATCCGCAGCACCTGACCCGCTCTACTACCCCATCGCGAAACCAAATCAAAGCTCGAGAGGACGAGGACGGAGGGAATGGGACGTGGAGACTAACCTCACCTCGACGGACGGCGTGGCCGAGAGAAGGGCGAAGCGGCGGCGGTGGCGGCGGGCGCTGGAGAGGAGTGTCGGCTAGGGTTTGGCCAAGCGCAAGGGAGTGCTGGCTATAAAGGCAGCTGAGGGAGTTTTCTCGCCGTCGGATCTTGTGTGCAGCCGCAGAGGCGGACGGCGTAGGTCGGCAGGGCGCGGACACTGCAAGCAGGCCGTCGAAGGATGGGCCTCGTGCAAGCATTGACACATGATGGATCGTGGAGAAGCTGAGAGCGCGGTGGGCCGGTGGCGATGGATCGTGGAGAAGCTGAGACTGAGAGCGCATGATTTTGGATAGTAGGAAACTAATGGATTGTAATCTAATCCGCTTTTTTTTTATCGATAATGATATACGACGGTGGTGCGGACGGGAACGGACGCACCTAAAGCCGTGCCGAACCGACCCGCCCCTGCTGCACACCGTATCCTGGACGTGGTCTCCCACACTCATCCTTATCCTCTCCTAGCTCACCCCGTAGTCGTTCCTCTCCATTCTCTGCCGCCCCACCTGACGCCGCGCCTAGTTCCCCAGTTCACTGCTGTCCCACCCGCCTACCGACGCTCCCTCCCTCCCCCCTCCCGCGAACTCCATTGGTACCCCGCGCCCCTAGCGACACGGCTCCTGCTCCTTTCCACCGAGAGATGAGGACGACGGCGGTGGCTCTAACGAGGTAGGTCGGTTCTTCTCTGGATTTGAGCCCTCCTCTCCCTCTGGATCTGAGCCCTCCTCATCTGGATCTGAGGGGCGCGGCAGTGGCTAGGGTTCTGGCGAGCTCTGAGGTCAGGGCTGGTTTATATGCTTTTTGTTTGTTTCTCCCGTGTTACAGTGGGTGTTTTGGGATGTTGCAACAGATGATTTTTAAATGTTGCAATAGATTTTTTAGGTCATTGCAACAGATGTTTTTGCGATGTTGAGATGTTGCAGTACATAATTTTCGACGTTGAAGTACATGATTTTAGATGTTGCGGTACATATTTTTTGATGTTGCATTATATGTTTTTTTATGTGTGCAGTACATGTTTTTCGATTGTCGTAGTACATAATTTTTTATGTTGCAGTAAATGATTTTCGATGTTGCAGTACATATTTTTTGATGTTACATTACATATTTTTACGATGTTGCAGCATTTACAACCCGATGTTGCACTACATAGTTTTCCCATATGTTTTTGCAACGTTGCGGTTAAAGTGTTCATGCTCTTTTAGGACAGGGGCGCGGTTGGGAACGGGAGACAGGGGCGCGATGGGGAGCGGAGGATATGGGTTCTGTTCTATTCTGTTCAGTGCATGGGTGGCGGGCAGGGTTCCGTAAGACACCGATGTCCGGGCGCACTCGCGCGCCGGACGTACGGGCGCTAGGTGGCCCATTTTTTTATTATTTTCTACTATTTCTATCTGATTCCATCTTCTTATTCTTTTTTTAGACGAAAAATATGCGCAGGCTGAAACTTTTTGAACGTTATTTTTATGATAACTAATTATGTATCCATTGAAACTATTTAAAAGTTCTCCATAACAATTTATTAATGACAAATGATACTAATTTTGATATTGGTATTTATAAATATTAAGTATGATTTAATTTTCTTTCCATTTAGTTTGAGATTTTGTATTTGTTGTTGTGGATTATATCTAAATATTTGATTTTATTTTATTCGAATTGTTTGTTGTCGTATATTATTTTTGTATAATTTAATTTATTTATTCCGTTATAAATATGATTATTTGTACATTTAATTATTAAAATATTTATGGGCTATCTTTTTACATGTGTTATGTACACGAGTTATCATACCACATCAATTTGCCATCTACGTATGCTCGGTTGGCACCAATGATCGTAGCAAAAATCTTCATAATTAAGTTATAGTGAGAATTCGTTGGAGCCGGACCTACATTACACAAACAACAATCTTCACCTCCGTTCAAACCAAAATCGAGCAAACAACTACATGAAAACCCTAGGAAACACCATGTCACCATTTCCCAACAACAATATCAATGATTGAGTACTCAACTAAATCCAAACCCTAAATTGCATATATATATACATTACACCACCAGGGGAAATCCTATAGCACCCAAGCGATTAGGTCACAACCAAACTCACCGTACTTCGGCGTCTGTTCTCCTTCCCTACGAAACCTAGGGGCTGTGCTTTTGGGGCCCTAGACGACGCGCCTTCATCTGTGCACGCCACCTCCTGCCGCACACTTCGTCATCACCTTCCTCGGCTCTTCCGCCTCCGCCACGTGTGTGAGGTCATAGTGGTGAGAAATAGTCATGAACAGCGCACATGGGGCTCCTCAAATATTTCCCAAACTCTCACACGAGCCCAACAGACAGGATGGTAGTCCACGCTAGCGAAATAAGCTACCGAGATCCGTATTGGACCTCTAATTATATACTCCCTCGGTCCCCATATATGTGGCGTGTGCTGATCTTTGAGAATGGCCGTTTTATCTAGTGCAACACCGTCGCATGCGTTGCAATTAAACCACATGTAGCACTTACCAAGCGTAGGCAAGACACTCTTCTCATTGCATGCATGCAAAATTGATTCACTATTTAGTTTGAGTCATTTGACCATTCCTTCTCCCTTCGTTTCATGCATGCAAAAAATTGATGACGACTTAAGAAACGAAGGATCATGGCACCGCAAGCTAGGAAAGGGGAGCTGGATTAAGTAGTTCTTGGTATCTGGAATACTCGTGTTGGCATCAGATAAAACGGAATGGAGGGAGTATTTATCAAGTTTATAGGCCTGAAATTCAGGTTTTCAAATTCAATGTTTATATGCCTTCTTGGAAATATGGGACAAGTTTAGGGCTCCTTTGGTTCAAAGGAATTTCATAGGAGAAATGTAGGATTGTGATTTCCATAGGAATGGTCACTGTAGCAGCCTTTGGTTTACATGATTGAGCTACAGGAATTTTGGAGGAAAGAATCCTCTACCACCGGTTTCACAGGTGAAACATAGGAAAACAAACATCCACTTGGAGCTCTTTTTTTCGTAGGATCGAGGCAAGTCAGAAGTAAAGACATGATTGCTCAGAGAAGATTGGCTGGAGCAACTAATATCCCGTACAAAAGCAATGCATGTGGCACAAAAAGAGCTAGCTTGCCTACAGTTGATTAAACTAACCTGAAAGGATTAGACATTTCCTAAGGTTGTTATTCCTACAAACTTTCTGTGTCCATCCAAATAACAACTCCAACAAATTTTTTGTGCTTTCCAATCCTTAGTTTTGCACATACAATCCTATTATATTCCTATATTTTTTCTTTTCCGTGTTTTTTCAATCCCATGATCCAAAGAGCCTTATAGACGCTGGCGGATTTTACTCTTTTTTTTTCATTTTCATCCCTCCTGCTTCCATTCGGCGCCGCGAAAGGACAAACACCAACGGAACGGACCAAGTCCCCAAGACCGTCCACCAGCTAGCTTCCCCGATCCCCAACACACGAGCGGAGTAGGTGGCCTCCCTCTCCCTCCCTACCCCGTTTTCCTCCACTCCCGCTCCAGCGTTCTCTCCCTCCTCCCCCTGCCCCGACCGATGCTACATTCCCGCGGCGAGCCGCTTGCCTGCCTCCCCGGGCCCTTGGCTTTGGCTACCCACCCCATCGCCGAGCCGCCTCGTCCGGTCCCCCTTCCATTTTTGCCCGACTCTCGCGTCTCGGAGGGAGGGAGAGGAGAGGGGAGTCGTCGTCCTGCGCCCGGCGCTCGGGTTATTGGCTCGAAGGATTGCTGGCGTGTTGGTGGATTTGGAGCCCGGGGTGGACTGATTGCTGATGGTATTCTCCGATGGAGGAGGCCGGGAGAGAGCGGGACAGGGCGGCGGTGGCGGCGGAGGATCTCGGCGTCTCCACTAAGGTCAGGCGAACGGTATCTCTGTCCCCTGCCAATATACTGTTTCTCCGTTACTGTTTGTGATTAGGAGATTACTGATTGGGGATTTGGGGGAGTAATTATTTATTATGCCCCTGGCCTCTGACTCTGTTTCGGCATTTTTGCAGTTTCCCTGATAACTAGCTTGTAGCACCAGGCAATATCACCCGCGCTAGCATCCTGCTAATTGCTTTGAATAGATTCGTTGAATAATAGTTGAGTTCCCTCAAGAATTACTCTGCCGTTTTAGATTGTCCATGGTCCACATAGACTTCCATGTTCCGGCTTGTTTCTCTGCCTGAATTTACAAAGGGACCAATTGGTCTCAAAGTTGGCCCTGGCATTATAGAATGAGAAATAAGAGTAAATCACGCATGGCTGGTACGTTGATGTAGGGAAAGGTTCAACATCCACCTTATTTTATGTTCAGCTTTGCCCGTGCCTGATTAGTGATTAGTCAAGAATCTTCGTTTAACCTGTGAGGTATTTTCATTATGCACACATTGTTTGTATAAACAAATATATAATGACATGCACGTTGCTGTGTGGCTGTGTGGACAAACATGATTTACGATGCCTTATATTGTAACTTGGAAACATAGTGACAGTCTCTTTCAAACATGAAAAACAGGAAACTTATTCTCGTCAGAAATAATAACTAAGACCTGAGAAAAATTAGGATTCGATCAGGTCGCATCATTCTTGCCACATATGTGATAGTGCATTTCCTTAGAGGTCTTCGGAGTGTCAATATTTTATACACTAATACACCTCCAAACAATCTGGGTGTACACTGTAACACCTATGTTTTCCATTAGATGTACACATTAATATTTCTTACTGCACCCATCTGCCATGCTATTGCGGCTATTGCCAATTGTATCTTGGCATGGTAACAGTGGCTTTTCTACAAAAAATGGATGTGCAATTAAGTGGCATGTAGGAAATATAATTGTACCTTACAAAAACTATCAAAAACATTGAGCATTGTTAATATGAGTTGTAGCTAGCTAGGGTGCAGAAAATTAATTTAACTGACTGGTTTACAGTTTGTCGCATGCATATATTGTTCAGGGTAACCGATTGAAAACTAAATGTGTTAGCAAAACTAGAAGCCTTTCTTAATCCAGATTACTTCAATATTATATAAATCCAATTAAAAAGGTGCGGAAAAATAGTTTCAGTAAAGAACTACTCCATGTGCAGTACATGGTTCTGTGCTTTTAGAACGACAGACAGACACACCTATATGCTTGCCTGAAAAGCTATCCATTGTCCTGGTTTAAAGTTTTTTAATCACAATTGGTGCTATCAATATAAAATGAAGCGAAATACAAATAATTAGGCATAGAAAAGAGCTTTATTGGTTGATCTTGTCTGACTTCAATACATTGATTACTTGCTAGCGCATATGATGCAGATGTGCAGTCTGTCTGTCTACATGAACTGAAAAGGTAAAAATCTATTTACGATCGTTCAAAAGTCAGTGGTACATGGTGGTGGTAATGGCCCAACAAATAGACACGTTTTATGGGAAGCACTAGCACTTTAGGTTCTTTTACTAATTGTCGTTCCCTTGTCTGGCTAACACATGCATACTAACTCATGCAACTGACTGTAATTGATTCTCAGACAGATGCATGTACTGTATTTCTTGAACACCTGAGCAAAGCCTGGTAGGATTTGAACATGAAGTATTGGGCCGGTGACACCATGTTTTTATTGATAATAAAGAAGCTTTTTACTGATAACAAAACAATTACATCAAGATGATACAACCACCTTGAGATCGCTCCCGGCCTCTGCATAACTACGATTCACACAGCCTGAGAAACTTAAAATCAAAGTTTTTTTGGCTCTGGACCAAATAAAAAAGGGCATCTAGGTCTCAGCATAACTACGATTCACACAGTATGGGAACTTTTAAAGGTTGCAAGTGTTAGACTGATGCAGGGGTTGGGTGCCATTTTCCCTTTTTAGAATAGACTGAGAGTCTGGTGCTCTCAACAATGTTGTTGTATCTTTTCCATTTTCCACAGGCGTGGATTGCGGTGCATGTATTAGTTATCCAGGGATCATGTCTTTTGGTTTAATCTAAAAGCTATTAATTGATTATTGTGTGGTTTAATGATAAGGCTGGGACGCTGGGTTTGTAGTCAAGAATTAAGGATAGAGAGATTGCTGTGAGGGAATCCCCAGATGATAATCCATTGTCCCTTCATGTGACCTTTCATTAAATGTCAGTGCCCTCAACCTTTTTTCAATTGCAGGATACAGCAGTTGTAAACACAAAGCCAGCAAAGCGATACCCACTTGCGTTATGGATAGCCATATTGGGCCTGATAATGCTAGTCGGCGTGTACATATTCTCGTTGTCTCTAAAGCAAAACGGGATGCTTTTCGGGCTCATGCAGACAAATCTGATAGAAAAGGAAAGGGAGAAACCTTGTCATGACCCCAGTATTCCAGACACAGAAATCCCTTACTTGCACTACCCGATGCCAAATACTTATGATAGGTAATGAAGATATACTGGGTCATCTGAATTTTGTTTTTTTTTTCAGGTTAGTGACTGACTTGTGTGTTCTTTGTCTGTTAGGAAAGAATGTGCGTGCACTGGGGTTAGGTTCTTTGCTATCTTGTCAATGCAGAGGTCAGGGAGTGGATGGGTTGAGACATTGTTGAATAGCCATCCTAATATTAGCTCCAATGGAGAGATCTTTTCTGTCAAAGATAGACGCAGTAATATCACTGCGATCACGAAAACACTGGACAAATTGTACAATTTGGATTGGTATAGCAGTGCTGCTAAGAATGAATGTACGGCTGCCGTGGGGCTGAAATGGATGCTCAATCAGGTAATCCTTATATTCATCATACTTGTAGGTGGAGCAAAAACTTGCTCATGTGATAATTTCACAGAACATTTTTCATCTTGATAATTTATACTCTAAATGGATATCCAATGTAGAAATTTATACCATTCTTGGAGTAGTTTTATATTGTGGAACAAATTGCTACTTACTAACCTTTTCCCCTTTTGAATCTTAATCTGGACATACCATGATTATCTCGCAATTCCAACCTAGTTCCTTTTCTTATATCATACTTGTGTGTTTCCTTAAGTGGAAATTAGTTTGATTACTTATGGACTATCTGAAAACCAAGGAAATAAGACCGTATCAAGTTTTGATGCACTGCCTCCATCAAGATTGCCAATTTTATTCACATGGAAAATTGCTCGCCTACAAGTGTTAAACAAACTGTTAAAATACTATAAGGAGCGAAGAAAAACTAAATAACTAAGGATTTTATCATATCTCTCCATCATGATCTTTTCCCCCTGTTTGAAAAAAACTTACTTGCTTGAACTTTACATAGATGAATGATGTGCTGAAGGTGTTTATTCTAGACAATGGCTACTGATAGATATGACCTTTTGCATTCTATAGAAACTTTTGCCACAGAATTATAGATCAGGTTGAAGGACTCATTATCTAAGATGATTCTTGGTATATATGCTTACTTCAGAAGATCTATTGAGTTTGTCCTTTGATTTCATGATTTGCACATAGAACTATTCTTTCTAGTTCAGTAGTTCTAGTTCTATGTGCAAATCTTCTCCGGCGTGCCTGAACCTTAGACTTAGCCTTAGATAGGAGTGCTTGGAAAACAGCTATTCACGTGCCTGAACCTTGATTGCTTTTGCTGGGTTTCAACTCTAACCTACCCCAACTTGTTTGGGACTTAAAGGCTTTGTTGTTGTTGTTGCACATAGAACTATTCTTTGTGTCACAATTGTTTGTGTGGCAAATTTCCAAAGATATATTCAGCTTCCTTGATTTGTTTTATCTAGTGATGTGCTTATTCTAGTGAACATTATAGGGTCTAATGAAGCACCATCAAGAGATAGTTGAATACTTCAACCGAAGGGGTGTTTCTGCAATTTTTCTACTAAGAAGAAATCTTCTCCGGCGTTATGTCTCTATATTAGCAAATGCTCATGATAGTGCCATGAAACAGCTGAATGGAACTCATAAAGCTCACGTGCACTCCAAACATGAGGTGCACATCTTTCCCTTATGTTGCCTGAACTAAGAGTCAGATTTTATTCAAGCATGCATGTTTTGGTATCATGAATATATCGAACATATATGATTACAAGTTCTTTATCTGCTAAAAAATGGTGCAGATGTGTGTTGAGTAAAAGAGAATCCTGTTGATCCTTTTTTCCCCTTTGTGCAGGCTGAAATTCTTGCTCAATATAAGCCAACCATTGACAAAAAAACATTGATTACTGAACTAAAACGGTCTGATAAGTTGGCATCTGATGCCTTGGTGAATTTCAAGAACACCAGGCATGTTGTTCTGTACTATGAGGATGTTGTCAGCAATCGCACGGTGAGTCGCTGTTGCTTCATATGGTTCTGTTGAGGCTAAAACAATCTTCATTCTCCTCAACAGCATGCTATTTCTGTCTTCAGATGCTCATGGATGTCCTAGATTTTCTAAGAGTGCCAAAGAGGAAACTGTCCAGTCGACATGTGAAAATCCACACTAAACGATTGTGTGATCATATCGATAACTGGGCAGATGTTAATAATTTTTTGAAGGGGACACGGTTCGAGAGCTTTTTGAATGGCTCAAGGAGATGACATCGCTAGCTGATGTATATAGTGCTATTGCTATAGTGAGTTGTCCTTTTGACGCCTCGTTACCCCCCTTCTACAGCTAACAGAGTTAGCGCAGTAGGCAAATTTTTTGATATCATGAGCGAATAAGTTTGGGTCACTGAGAGAAATAGTTAGGAAGCAGAGTAGAGATGCTTGATCCAGGTTAGTCTCATAGATATGGACTTCAGAACTGCAGAATAACGATGAGAAACAATACCTTTGGGGGTATCAGATATCCAATGCAAGAACTTGTAAAGCTGTCTGGACTCATCATTCATTAATATACAACAAAGTTTACACTTGAAAATGATAGCCCGTCCGGACTAGCGCAACAAGTGCTCAACTGCTCATACTCCTTGCATGCACATGTTGGCCCTTGGAAATAGCAAATGCTCTTGGAAGTATCTTGTTGCTAAATGAAGCGAATTGAGTCCTTCGGTGTACTGAACTGCTAAATGAAATGTACTATCACTTTCTTAATTTCTGCCATTGCCTGACATTTTAAAGGGTGTTTAAATTGGCTAAATGGACATTTAGGCTAACAGTGCAGTTCAGCGGTTAGTGTGCCGGTCATGCATGGATGGATGGATCCATTGGCAAGGAAGCTCCGTGACAGAGGAAGAAAGCAGAGTAATAATACACAGAATCAAACGAAGGAAGCATGTGCGGTTACTTCTCCAGCCTATACAAAACTGATGATCTTTACTGCTAGCAACTACAATGCACAACGAATCGCATTGTTCTGCTCAGTAGCCTGCCTGCTCGCTCGATCTCCGTCTGCTCAGATAAGAGCTAGGTCTCGGTGGCAGGCGGCGGGGCGCCGGGCTGGATGGTCTTGAAGGATTCGTGCAGGCGGCGGAGCATGGCCTCGTCGCGGCTCCACTCGGCGTTGGGCGCGGTGACGAAGTGCGCGTACAGCTTGTTCCGCGCGCACGTCACGGAGATGAGGCTGTGCGCGCCGGCGCCCGCCACCTCGTACTCGTAGTACACCTGCCCGGCGCCGTCGGCGCGCTGGGCGGAGCTCACGTCGTCAGCGGTCGCGATCTGGTCCTGCAGCCCGACGTCGGAGAGCGCCAGGTTGTTGAGCACGGCGCTGAGCGGCGCCAGCGCGCGGATCCCGGACAGGAACGTCAGGTACTCCTTCTCCGTCCGCTTCCGCGGGTTGAAGAACTCCGAGTCCGTGCCGTTGGTGCCCTTCTCCACCTTGGACACCAACCGCTCCTTCCACCCCTCGGGGACGTCGTATACGTACTCCGCCGTGTCCTTCTTGCTCGCGTTCCCGCCGTACCCGCCGTAGTTCGCCGCGCTCGCCGCCGTGCCGTAGTACACCGTGAACTCAGGGTCGGCGCGGGACGGCGCCGGCGCCGGGGACAGCAGCAGGAGCCCCGCCGCGGCCGCCGCCACCAGCGTCGTGGCGACGGGGGGCTTGTTCCCCTGCGGCGGCGGCGGGATCCTCAGCGCCTGCGGGGAGGGGTTGCCGCCTGCTGCTGCGACGAGGCGGTGGAGGGGCACGCGGTGGTGAGGAGAGGGGACGCCACGCGCGAGAGGAGCGAGGGAAACATGGTCGCCGTCGACCGTCCGTGACACGCTGCCGGGGCGGGGCCGCGAGGTGGGTCGTGTTCCGTGTGCTTTGTGTTGGAGGCGACGCGCGAGAGGATAGGAGAGATCGCATGGGCCCGTGGCTTATCCAAAGCGACGTCGACATGGCACGTTGGCGCTCGCGAGCCACCAGCGCAAACAGCAGAAGGGTATTTGCGTGGAATCCTTGTGTTCGTACTATAATACTGGACGCAATTTGTAGCTGGGCATGTCGGCGGCATTACTTTGTTTGGGCCTAGAGAAAAGGAAGAGCCTTATGTTAGCGTTCTTCTCTTAGGGCCCGTTTGATCCTTGAATTGAATTTATTCTAATAATTACAATTTAGACATAGATCAATTAAGCAAATGTAGTTGTATATAGAATATATTTGTATATTTATTGTTAGATATACAAGGGACGTACTTATATATTGTATTTCTATTGTAGAAAAAGTGAGTTGAAGAGTGTGCTATAAGTTGAAGCGTAGAATTATAGCATAATGATTTATAGAATCTATTTTCATCTCCCTACCTATAATTTGAGATAGGCTTATTTGTAAGCTTGAAAAAGTTATGGAATATCAAATTCTAAACCAAATAGCCTAATCCATTAAGTAGATTTCAATTCCTCCAAAACGAAGTCAGGAAAAAATTCAATACCTCCAACTATCATGGTCGTCTAATTTTTCTCCTTAACTGCAATATCAGTTTTTTTACCCTCCAACTTTTAAAACATTTTTTTTATCTTGGGTTATTTTAAATTTGATTTTGCTGATACGATGTCACATCAGATGAGGTAATTAGACTAAGTTCATGAGGTAAATCAGACTAAGTTTAAAAATTATCAAAAATCATAAATTTACTTTTTTAAAAATTATCTAAATGCTTTTACATGTAAAAATAATGTAATTAAAAATCCTAAATTCTGGTTTAATTTTACAAGATTTGTGTTACCGTGAAACATATATTTTCTAAGATTGAACCAGATTTTAGGATTTTGAATTGCATTATTTTCCATTTAAAAATATATTTATTTATTTATTTTAAATCATTTTATGATTTTGGGTTTTAAAATATTTCTAGTTCGATTTACCTCCCTAAACTTTCAACTTAGTCCGATTCACCCCCTTTTGACGTGGCATCACATCAGCAAAACCAACATTAAAACCACCTGATGTGTAAAAACAGATGATTTCAAAAGTTGAGGGTTTTATAGTTTAGGGAGGAAAATCAGACAGTCGTGATAGTTGAGGGAGGTAAATTATACTTTTACCTTTTTCTTGAAGAAACGTTGAAGTGCTAACAAAATTATATGGCTCCCTATGTTTGCATTTCATGTTGCATATCTATTTTCCTATAAGCTTTGCCATGGCCAACCAGGTAGGTCAAGGTCGTTGAGTCAAAGTCGGGCGATCCTCTTCGGCTCCATGTTAAAAACTCCCTCGGTTCTAAAAATCATAAGATATTTTGGTTTTTCTAGATACATTATTTTTACTATACATCTAGACATATGTAGTATATATCTAAGTGCATAGCAAAAGTTATGTATCTAAAAAAAAGTCATATAGGAGAGAGTAACAAGTTAGATGTCGCATACTTATGCTTGTTTCGTCTTAAGAAGAAGACCACTGGGAGTCCGAGATGGTCTATGAGTTAGATGCATGCACTTTTTGATGATCCTATCGTGAAGGGAAGAGACGAAAACAATCGCAACGCCTTCGAGCCCTCAAAGGCTCAAATGAGAGGGGGGTAGAGCGAAATGGAAAATAAGCGTTTGAAGAGTTAAGTATTGTACTCTTTTTAGTGTTAGTTTGATACAACCGATTCCCATACAACTTATAGAGGGTTTGCTTTGTTGGCAAGGGATTGAAGGTGACTGATGATAGGATGTTTTCGCAAGCCGATGTAACGATTTTATACATACACATTGTATACCACTTAGGGCTTGTTCGGTTGTTTTTAAAATAGAAGGGATTGAAGGGGATTAGAGGGGGTTGAGGGGGATTTGACTTGAGAGGGATTTAATCCCTCTAATTTCCTCCCGATCCTTTTGGTTTTGGGATCAAACGAAAATGGCCTGAGTGAATAGCATCATTTCATCATCGCCAAATGCACAAAAAATGAGCATCCATGCTAAGCCTAAAATTTTAATCCGAAAATTCATCGGTTTCCACCATAATAAAGCTAACAAAACCACCCTTAACTGGCAAAATGATTTTACCTTTTTATGAAAAATGTTGTACTCTTAGAGCATCTCCCAAAGTCTCTGTGAAGCTCGCTCTCTAAATCATTATTTAAAGAATCATTTGCATAATTTTTTTCTCTATCTTTCCACTCTCGCATTGGCGGAGGCACCGCCGGACGACCTTGAGCGGCCGCCCGGGCTCGTCGGTAAAGCACAAATAATTTTTTTATTTATATTGCAGGGAATATTATACTTAAATTTTTCCTTATAATGCAAAGAAATATTATACTAGAGTAATAGTATGGGGAAGCTCGTAGAGCCTGAAATAAGAATTTTTTAAGAGATACGGTGATACAATCTTTTGAAGATACTTGTAGAGGTAGAATTTATGTGCCTGCTCTGTTACGAGTGTCCAAATATAGAAAAAATCTTGATTAGATGTTCTTCAACACTAATTTAGCAGTACTGGTATTCCTTGGCTTAGAGCCCACTTCTGTTTTAAAAGGTGGAAGTAGACAAGTAATGTTCAATTCCAATGCTGAAGGTGGGCTGGGCAGCAAGAGACATGTCAGAGATGTGGATGCAATTACTGGGAGCAAAGGCCGATTAACGGGCGCCGGAGGTCAGCTGAGTAAGGGTGACTCACGGAGAAGGTGACCTGCGAGCCCGCCTCCCCCCACCGCCGGCAGCCACTCCGGCCCCGGCGTCCACCCTCCCCTCCGCCGGTGGCCAGTCCGGCCCCGGCGTCCACCCGTCCCCACCGCCGGTGACTCTCCTGGTCCCGCCGTCCACCCCCTGGAGCCGCTGCACGCCTCTCCTTTGCTATGGAGGACGGTTCCCCCTCTCGTCGCTCCTAGGCCGATGAGGCTGACGACGAGCTCCCCTCACCGCGCGCCCTAGGTGCAGGGTTGCCCACTCTCTTCCCCGAGCAGGTCTCCCTCTCCGACTCTGAGGACTACACTGACTCGGAGCCCCCTTCGCCCCCGCCTCCAGGTAAGGGTAAGGCGGTCCAGCTGGATGTTGGCCCTCACAGACGTCCGCGCCGCCGCCGCCCTCGCCGTCGGGCTACTGCTGGTGACTTCATGGCGGCGGCCAGACGCTCCTACCGGGGGTGGTACGTTCGCCGCCGCGCCGCCCTGACTCGCTAGTCGCCACCACGTCGGGGTGGACCGCCCTCCCCTACGTCCCACCCTGCCTGGGCTCTGGGGAGGCCTGACGCGGACGGTTCCTACCGGGTCCGCAGCCGGCGGCGGTGGCGTCGCCGCTCGCCGCCGAGGCCGTCGCGCGCCGTCCCCGCTGCCCTGGTTGGACTTTGCTTCAACTGCCTGGCCAACAACCACATCAAGGCGGAGTGTGTGTTCCCGGCCAAGTGCTTCAACTGCCGTTGTGAGGGCCACCGTTCCTCGGTCTACCCGCTGCCTCCGGCGACAACCGGCGCCAAGCGGGGAAGGTCACCCCCCACGCGCCTGGTGAGCGGCGGGTTGCGTCCGGACCGGCGGCAGGACAGCGCCGGCCCGCTTATGCCTCCGACGACACGGGGACCGCGCGGTCGGTCAGCACGGGCAGGTCCACCTCTGTTCCGCACTGCTGCCGCCCGCCCACGCCGGCCGTACCTCCCCCTTAGGTTGCGGAGCTGCACGGCGACCCTGTGGGTCAGGCTGCTGCGGGGCCGGCGGTCGGGCATTCGGTTGCCCCACGCCCCGACGAGCCACTGGCGTCCGGACTACGCTCTGAGCTCGTTGTCATCCCCCGCTCCGACGAGCTACAGGCAGCTGAGGATATGCTCAGTCTCGCGCTTGTCGCGCTCGTTGGTGGCACCCGGCCAACGGTGTCTGCGGCGATGATGGCCAGCTACCTCTACAACCGCTTTGAAATACGTGCGGAGGACGGCGACGCTCGCCGACATGATCCTGAGGACTTCGTCGTGCGTTTTCGCCACCAAGCTGATCGGGATCGGGTGCTCGCCGCCCCACCGATGGGTGCACTCCTTCCCCTCATCTGGCGACCCTGGAGGAGGACCTTGTTGGCCAGCGGCGGATCCTTCAGGTTTAGGGTGCTGGTCGGCCTGCGGCGGGTGCCCCTGCACGCACTCAGCGTGGCCATGGCGCAGACCATTCTCGGACCCAACTGCGCGGTGATTGATGTCGTGCGCCCGCGCGACGTCCCGCCGGAGGATGACCAAGAATTCTTCGTCGTAGCTTGGTGCCTCGACCCGAGCTTCATCCCGGACGTACAGGTGATCTTCATCCCCGAGCCACGATTTGGCAATCCCGTTGAGGCCTCCTCGGAGGAGCTTCCGGGACTGCGGTATCTCGTTCGTATCCGTCTTGTTGCGTTCGAGAACTGGAGCACGCCGCCGGCATCGCCTGGTGGGGGTGGCCATGGGGATGGGCCGATTGGCGACACGGACGGTGGTGACCACGGCCACGCTGGCGCTGGCGCTGGTGGCTCCTCGTGGGGCACGTCCCCTGACGAGGGCTTCTCGCCCAGGAGGGACAGTGACGACGATGGCTCGGCGGACAGCAACTTCAACCGTCGCCACCCCGGTTTCGACCGCTGCATTGGCGCCGACCCACCACCGGAGGGGGGGCCGCTGCCCGTTCTACTCGTTCTTCTCGCGGGGCCGCTGCGCCTGCCGGCGACGCTGTGCTCGTGGGGAGTGTGCCCTGCCCCCTGCGCGAGGCACACAGCCCCCTGCCCTGGCATCACGTGGCTCACCCGCCGTGTCTCAGGATGGGGACGTGTGTCGCCACCACAATGGCTGACGAATTTGACTTCGGCGCCTGGCGCCCTTGCACGCCAACTCCTGTTTCACAGCTTTCGCACGACCCAATGTGGTCTGAAGCCACCCTTGCCGAGCCAACGAAAGCTGTCAGCCGCGGCGTCAGCCACAGTGAAAACCTGCTGCGCGTGCACCCCTTCGACCTCTGCCCACCTGCTGACCGCTCGCCCCCGTGCTGCTTGTCAGGGATCGTTGGCCGTGCCCTCGGTCAGGACATGCCTGCTACCGCGCTACCGATTTGGGCCACGGGAGGGCCGCCCGTGGCCTCCCTGGCCTGCGATAGCTTGGGGGGCTTGATGAGTTCGAGCCTGGCCAGCCCAGCGCTTGTCCGCCTAGACAGCCCAGAGCTTCTGAAGCTCCCGCGGCCCCGGCGCCGGATGTCGCACCGCCCACGCCAACGCCAGCGGTGTCTTTCGCCGACTCTCTTCGTCTGCCAATTGTGGAGCCACTGCTTCACACTCCGCACGTCTGGACCTCGAAGGCCAGCGATGAGGCAGCAGCCGCCTCGCCGCCGAATCCGACTTCCGCGACCCTCAGCCAGAGAAGCAGGCGAAGCGAGTGTTGATGGCCAAGTGGACGAGGCGGCCGCAAGGTACACCGACAACGCCAGACGACGCTATCGCTTTGCGTTTCCGCGAGACCTTCACGACGCCGCTCTCCTCCTCCAAGCGGGCTGCCTTGTGTGAGCTAGTCCCCAGGCACGTGGGCCACGGCCACCAGCCTGCGGCGCGCCTGTTCTAGTCGGGCATGTCCGTCGTCGTCTACTTGGTTCCACCATGAGTGACAATCATCTCTTAGTCTGGAACGCGCGCGGCCTTAACAGCCGGGCACGCAGGAGCGCTGTGAGGAGCATCGTGCCTCGATCGTCTGTCTGTGAACTTCTCTGTAACCTTGAACTGTGACATCTCTGGGTTAGACTACGACTACCTCTGTCTCCCAGCGATCGGTGCAGCGGGTGGTGTGGTGACTTCCTGGCGACGTGACCTCTGGGCCGCTTCCCAGCCTTCAGTGCGCCGCTTCTCTATCACGGTGTCCCTATCACCGTTGAACGGGCATGGAGGCCGCCCGTGGTGGCTAACCAACATCTACGGGCCGACCGACAGGAGGGACAGGCCAGACTTCCTACTTGAGCTCCGCGCCATCCGTTCGTCTTGCCCAGGGCCGTGGCTTATCTGCGGCGACTTCAACTTTATCTACATGGCGGTGAACAAGAACAACGGCAGGCTGCACCCTGGCACCATGCGTCGCTTCCCGGGATCTCCTCGATGATCTCTCACTGGTAGAGGTCGACTTATCGGGCAGGTTATTCACGTGGTCTAATGGGCGTGATCGCCCGACCCTCGTACGGCTTGACTGGGCGTTCGCCTCTCTCGATTGGATCGAGCAGTACCCCTCCCACCACCTTCGCTGCCTCTCCTCGGATTGCTCCGACCACGCGCCACTGCTCCTCATCCTCAACTCTATGCCTTGGGCCAGGCCACGGTTTCATTTTGATAATTATTGGACTAGGGTCGAGGGCTTCCTGGACGTGGTCACCGTGGCCTGGAATGCCCAGCTGCACGGTGCCGACGCCTGCAGGTGTCTCGACCACAAACTACGGACGGTGGCCAAGACACTGAAGAGCTGGCGGGCGTCCTGTGTTGGCAACATATATTCGACTGCAGCTCTCCGCGGCCAGGGTCGTCGTGTGTGTTCGAGCTTGACCTGGCGGAGGAGTACGTCCCGCCCCCTTTCTGCCGGTGAGATTGGCCTCCGACGCGAGCTCAAGGGTAACATCCTTGGCCTCGCGTCCCTGGAACGTACCATGGCAAGGCAACGGGCCCGGTCACGTAACCTCAAGGAGGGCGACGCGTGCACAAGATACTTCCACTTGCAGGCCTGCCACCGGAGGAGGAAAAACTATTTACTCACCATCGCGCACGACGGACAAACATTCAGCGAGGAGGAGGCCAAGGCTGGGCTAGTGTTCAACTTCTTCAACGGCCTGCTGGGGCAACCATTCACACGTCGTCACCGTATTGATCTGCACCAGCTGGGCCTCCCTCACCTCGACCTCCAGGCGCTGGAGGCGCCGTTCACGGCAGAGGATGATCGTCCGGGAGACGCCGTCAGACCGAGCACCCGGACCCGATGGTTTTTCCGATGCTTTCTTCAAGGCGGCCTGGAACATTGTAGGCGACGACGTTGTACGAGTCTTCCACGCGTTCTGGGACCTTGATTTCAGGAGCCTTATCCTCCTAAACGAGGCTATGATGGTTTTGTTGCACAAAACTACCACCCCAGCTGGCCTCAGGGACTACAGGCCGATTAGCCTCATTCACTCCGTCGGCAAGTTGATCGCCAACGGCCTCGCTCTACGGCTGGCACCCTTCATGCCCAGCATTGTCCGGTGCAACCAGTCTGTGTTCATCCACGGCCGGCAGATACACGAAAACTTCAGAGCCGTGCAGCTCACGTGCCGCTGGCTCAACGCCCGTCGCCACCCCACGGTGACGGTGCTACTCAAGGTGGACCTGGCCAAGGCCTTTGATACTGTGGCGTGGCCGTTCCTTCTCGAGGTCCTCGAACACGTCGGCTTCCCACAACGGTGGCGCAATTGGATTTCAGCGCTTATGGGCACGGCCAGCACCAGGGTGCTCGTGAACGGTCGCCCTGGACGTCGGATTTGCCATGCATGTGGTCTGTGTCAGGGAGACCCGCTATCGCCGCTCTTGTTCGTCATTGTCATGGATGTGCTCAATGGGCTGTTTGCCGAGGCCGATCGTCGTGGCGAGCTTTCCTCGCTGCCGGGGAACGTAATCAAGCACCGCGCCTCCGTCTACGTCGACGACCTCGTCATCTTCCTCTCCTCGACTGCCAGTGACTTCCAGTGTGTCAGGCAGTTACTGGAGCTCTTCGCCGGAGCCTCCGGCCTATCTGCTAACCTGGACAAGTGCACCATGTCGCCAATTCGCTGTTCACACGACATGCTCCAGGAGGTGCTGGCGGTCTTCCCCTGCCGTGTCCAAGAGTTCCCTACCGTCTACCTGGGGGCGCCTCTCTCGCTGGTCAAGCTGGGACGTGCGCAGGAATAGGCAATTGTTGATAAGGTTGCGGCCCAAATTCAAATTCCTACCTGGAAGGCGGGGCTGCTCACGAATGCGGGCCGGGCGACGCTGACACAGTCCACACTGTCCGCGATCCCGGTTCATATCTCCGTTTGCTGCTGCCTGTCGGCCAAGGCGATCGAAGACATCGACAAACGCCGGCGTGCGTTTCTTTGGTCTGTCACGGAGTCGGTCGCGGCCGGCAAATGCAGGATCACGTGGCCTATTGTTTGCTCCCCCAAGGAGCTCGGAGGACTGGGCCTGCCGTACCTCACAATTCTCGGCTTCGCATTGCGCTTACGCTGGGAGTGGCGCCGTCGGACGCAGCCGGACGCCTACTGGGCATCGCTGCCGTCTAGGCCTGAGCGCAAGGTGGACAGCATGTTCAGGGCATCCGTCTCCGTCGTAATCGGTGATGGCGCCTCGGCGCAGTTCTGGACGGACTCCTGGTTGCCGACCGGCCCCATCTGCATTTCTGCGCCACGACCACCGCTGGGCTAGGGACATTTCGGGGGCTCCGACGACTGCAGTGCTCTGCGAGTACGTTGACCTATGGGATACCTTGGAGAACGTCCAACTATCGCCGCTCGTCTCCGACCGTTTCGTCTGGAAGTGGACCGCTGATGGTGTCTACTCCGCGTCGTCTGCGTACCGAGCGTTCTTCTTCGGCACCGTCGCGTTGCCGAGGGCCAGGCTGATCTGGCGGGCTGCCGTGCCGCCCAAGCTCAAGTTCTTCTTTTGGCTGGCCCTCCATGGCTGCCTATGGACAGAGGACCGCCGCAGACGCCACGGACTGCAGCCACTGGCCGCCTACGCCCTCTGCGATCAGGCCGACGAGACGACGGACCACCTACTCACCGCCTGTCCGTTCACGCGTGAGATTTGGGCCCGTCTTCTATCCAGGGCCGACCTGCAGCACCTGGCGCCTACGAACGACTCAACACTGACGGTGTGGTGGTTGACAGCTCGGGAACAGCTGCCGCCCGCGTTCAGGCGCGCCTTCGACTCTGTGGTACTCACCGTCGCCTGGGTCGTCTGGAAGGAACGCAACAACCGGACTTTCAACAACGTCGCCGCGACGTCCTCACAAGTGCTCAATTCGGTTCACGACGAAATCAAGGCTTTTCCTCCAGGCTGGGTTTGGCGGCCTTGCGCCGTTCGTCGTCGCCATTTCTTAGCCCACGCCTCGGCTGGTCCTCACGTCGCCAAATGATTTCCTTTTCAATACAACCATGTAGCTGCGCCGTCTAGCCGGCGATTTCTGTTTTGTGTTCGTTGTGCGCCTCGTCATCTCGACACGCGCTACAACCATGTGCTGACAGTCTAGTTTCCTCTTAACGAAAAACGTGCAAGGCACGGTTTCAAAAAAAAAAACTTTAGCAGTACTGTCAGCGAACGAATAGTATTTTCTTCTCGTAACATTTTTAACATAAACAGTAACATAAGCCTAGTTTCAGCGAAACCACCGGGGCCAAAATGTCAGATAAGCAGATGAGCGACGCCCATCAAATCGTGCTCAGTTTGAGTTTCCTGGGCCACGTTTAGTTTGGTGTCCGATTCGGCGCCGTCAAATTCAGGGAGGTACTGTAGCTACAGTACTTTTTCGTTTTTATTTGCTAATAATTGTTCAAACATTGATTAATTAGGCTCAAAACGTTCGTCTCGTAAAGTACAACAAAACTGTGCAATTAGTTTTTGATTTCGTCAATATTTAGTACTCCATACATGTACCGCAAATTTGATGTGACGGAAAATCTTCTTTTTGCATAGTGCTAAAGTTGGGAATTTGGTAAAGAGGGCCCTGGCCAAACCACCCGTCCTACCTGGCACACGCAACCCACGCAAAGGCAACAGAAACCCACGACAAGCCCAAACAAAAACCCAATAAAATCTCGCCTGGCCTCTCGCAGTCCAGCCAGCCCCGTCGTCCACCCCAATCTCCACGCGCGCGTCGCCGCCGCTTGCCGGCGAGTCTATTCCCCTCCGCCACGTCGCCGAAGCTTCCCGCACCCCGCACCCCGCAGCGGTTCGGATAAGGCGGCCGCCCGCCCGCCACCCGCCCTCCTTTCGCCCCCACTCCTCTCGGCCCCGGGACCGCTTCCTGGTGGATCTAGGGTTGCGTGGGGAGGGGTTCTGGAAGCCTCCGCCACGATGGACGAGGCGGACGATGACACCCTCACCTTTAAGGTCGGCTTCACCGCCGCCGGAGAGGAGCAGTTCCGGGAGCTCGTTAGGGAGAAGCTGCGCGGGTTCAAGAGGGACGTGGACGACACCCTCGTGGTACGATTTCCTTCTGTCATCTCCTACTCGCTAGCTTCTGGTCTTAGCGGTTGATTTCGGTTGTTTGGGGACTTGGGTTCTCTGCAGCTTCAGGATTTTGGTCGAACTATTAACACGTAACAGTATGTAGGACTGGCTAGAATTCGAGATGACTTCTGCAAGTTACGCGACTGTGCCCTGTGTTTTTGTTCAGTGTAGCCCCGCATACAACAGCTATTGCTGGAATCATTCAGTAGTCTAATGTCATTGGATCTCATGGGCCTGCAGCTTTGCTATGTGATGGCTGCAGTTTTCGTTTGTTTAGGCTGACTGCTGTCTGT